ACTTTATTAAAATAAATGCTAGAAAAAATTCAAAGAAAAATATCTTTTAAAGAATTAATTTGAATTCTATACAGTTTATTAAACAAATAAAGCTTTCTAAAAAAATAAATAATTAATTCTATCTAATATTTATTGTTTAGGATGAAGAATTATTTACTTGAAAGCGAATATGATTTAAAGAGTTCTGTTATCTAAACAAGAGCTTAGAAGTTCCATGATCTTAAATTATCTAATGAATAAGTGAATAAAGAACTTTTGGAAAAAGGTATGATTGAAGCAGAACAAGCTAAATAAATAGGGTATCTATTACAAATAAATAATTTTATTTTAGTTTTCAAAATTAAATATTAAAAAATTATAATAATAGTCTTATTGATGGTATTAAAACTTTTGAAGAACTTGCTCATGAATAATATCACGGAGTCAAAATTTTAGATGCTATTCCCACTGGATCATTTACTAATAATTTATTAAAAAGCAACACATTATTTTCTAATTCATTTATCTGATGAATTAGTAGTATCTACTATTTTCTATTTTAAACTTTATACACTCGTTTCTTATAGCAATCAAGCAAACAAATGAAAAGTATATATATGTATATTATTTATGAAAAAATTCATTAATATTTCTCAAAACTATTTACAAACAGTTAATTAAACCTTCAAATTTTATAAAAATTTATTAAGTTGAAATAAATTTAAAATAAATAAATAATAAATATCTATTCATTCAATCATTTATTTATCTTATTGTATATTATAAATTTTTAATTTTAACTTTTTAAAAAATGTAATTAAAATATAACCAAATTTTATGTTTGCTTTTCATATTTAAGACATAATAGATTTTGTATATTTATAAGCTTTTTAAATTAAATTCATATTTCTTTAAATGTTTTTTCTAATTATCAATCAATTTATAAAAATATTTATGTAAAAAATTTCATTTTAAATTGCAATTTATTGAAACTATCTCAATGAATAGCTTTTTTATTTAATTTGGGGTACAAAATCAGTTGATTATTTATTAATAATAATTTTCCACTGAAAACCATTTATTTTGAAAAAGGGGCTTTAGCTCAGTGGCAGAGCGGAGGACTGCAAATCCTTAGGTCGCCGGTTCAATCCTGGCAGGTCCCTTTTTTTTAATTTATTAATTTTTTTTAAATCAATTAATCAATTTAAATAATCTTTTTAAAATATTTAAAATCTATTGAGATGGGGGCTTTAGCTCAGTGGCAGAGCGGAGGACTGCAAATCCTTAGGTCGCCGGTTCAATCCCGGCAGGTCCCTTTTTAATTTATTATCTGCATTTCAAATAAAGGA